TCGACAGTCAATGGTACATTATAATCATTTTCATTGTTACCTCTAAATGAGAAAAACATTGGAGAAGAGATAAAGAAAAATGAGAAACAGAAAAAAATCATATTATTTACTTGATTATTAATGTTTCTGATGTTGTTGTTGAAAGTAATTTTAAAACTTCAACTGATTTAGTTAGTTTATCCATTTTGTTTAATTTATATTCAATTCATTTATTTTAAAGTCAAATAAATAAGTTTAAACATTATTTTATAATCATAATGAATGAATGAATAGTCGACTGAAAAAGCCTAACATCGATTGAATATTTATAAACACCATTTGACATTTCTGTTCTTTTCAATGATGCGTAGCGATACATTACGTCTTTATAAAACAAGACTGTATAAATTGAAAACCTTATCATCAACCAAAATTCTTATAACTAAAATATAGCCTTTGCTACATGTTCAATAGGGATATGTTTCGATCTTGTAAATACTTAAAGTATAAAGATGTTATTTGGCGCCCGTGTGAGTAGGATGTAGATCACAGTACTTCATTTACTAACATCCTCCCATCAAGAGCCACATCCACAGCCACCATCATGCCGCACATCCACACCCCACATTCACCACATAATATCTACTCACTATGTGGGAAAAAAGTTTAATAATTTCAACAACAGTGAGCACAACATGAATAAATTCTTTTTTATCATATCTCGTTTTTTTTCTTTGGATGACAGTGCATTTTATTTTTATTTTGTTATCTCTTACTTGTTTGATGCACAGAAAGTTCGTCAACATTCTTCAGATGAAGAATAAATAAGTTTTTAAGTGAGAAACTAAACATACAGACACTGTTATAGAAATTGACTATTACAAAATGATTCAACAACATGAAGAAATTAGGATTTGGTTGTGGTTTTGGGTGTTAATTAGCGAATATATATACCCACACTCACATGCACATCTACGCACAACCACAGTCATACCCAAATTGTGCTGTTTTAATGGATTTTTTAATAAAAAAAATAATCGATTGTTAGGTAATTTATGGTCAATGCTTTATATGGATCGTATCGAGATTTCAATTTGAAGTAAGACTATTTGAAACTGAACTGAGTTTAATTTTATCCTAAGTAGTATGCATTGAATAATTTTCGTTTGTATTTAGTCATTAAATATAACTGTCGCTTCAACGATTAGTGGTTTATTTCATCGAGAACAAAGTTTTAAACTTCATCTTTGTCATTAAATTGTTATTCCTACACAAGATCGTCTGATTGCTGTATTTGAAAATTTGTTATTAAAAACTACAACAATGTATTTATGTTGTTATGAATGAAGGAGATTGAATGATTTGAAACAAAATTTTAAGTATTTATTTGTTTATTTGGTTCTTATTAGTTTTTCTTTATTCTAGCTTTCGTTTTGAAGCTGATGTTACACGTTTTCTTGAATCTTTACCAGTTACAAGTCAAATATCAGATAATGAACTTATAGAAGATACAAGATAACGACAAAAGATTTTTTTCTGTGTTATATCAAAATATTTTGCTTTAAAAAATAATTATCGTGAAACAGTGATGCTTAAAATAATAATGACATCAACTATTAAATGTTTTGAATATACATATCTTCAGGATCACCTAACATTTGTTCGAGTTGAATTTATTGGTAATCTAACTGAATGTATTGAACAAATCATTTTTGGTTGTTTTTTTTTTGTTTATTTCTATCAGGATTGAAAAGATGAAGAAACTCGAAATCCGTTTGAAGTTCATTTAAAACAAGTCAGTGAAATATATTTGTTGGAACACATAGTGCTGATCATGGTAATTATTACAAGAATAAGAATATTCAAGATAGAAGAAATAAAAGATTTCAGCAGAAACGACGTAAATATGATTTGAATTGTTGTAGATTATATATACCGTATTGGTCGTACAGGTGATGCAAACAAAGCAATAAGATTTTGAATAAAAGAAGATTCATCTGTATTTTATAAATTAAAAGAATTCATAATTGAGACACCTATATCACAATCTCTACCTGAATTATCTAATAATTCTAATGCACCACATGAACTTGGTTTAATATTTTATCTCTTATATTTGTCTCACTTTTTTTGTCTTATTATTGTATATTATTAATAAAAAAGTATCAGATGAAAAATAAAATAATGACTTATGATGTGTTTATGGGTGTGGGTTTTCGTGTTCTCTGATTCTATATCAATACTCACAAGCTACACGTACAGTCTAAAACATTGACCACATGTGTAATAAATTATGTACAAAGACGAAATCTTTTTTTTAACTATTATTTGAAGCACGTAAGGAAGCCACTCGTTGGCGTCAGATGATGAATATCAAAATGCAAAACTTGCAAAGAATCAAGAAATAGTAATTTTTTGATACCATTTACTTTTGAATTTTGTTGATTCTAATGAATCAAGCATGCAAAATACACGTATGTTTTTCGTCTTCTTATCGTTCTTCTTTCTCCATATATCTAGCTGTGTTGACATATCATAACTGAGTTACTATGTGGAAAGAACTTGTGATAACAAGAAGAAAAATAATGACAACAACACTTTAACTCATATATGATATCTCATATTCTTCTTATTTGGATGACGATGCATTTCACTATCGTTCTGGTCATATCTTGCTTGCTCATTATGTAAAAACTACGTTAACGCCCATGGAACGAAGAAAAGATAACAAATCTCTAATATGACAAAAGACACATAAACACACCTGTCTAGCAATTCATTGTAAAAAGTTTCCAACAAAAGGAAGTAATAGCGATATATATATATATAGGAGACTAAGTCTAACGTATTGCATCTTTTCATTTATCGATTATGGGTAACCAAAACTCAACGGCAACTATTACTAATGAAAAAGCAACGGCCATCACCCACACTACTGCTGTGCTGCCTCACAGTGCTCGTCGAATAATTCAAAACTTTCTTCTTATCTGGCTTGATGCCAATTTTGATGAATCAGACAGTGATTTTAAAAATTCGTTGCAAAATCTTCGAAAAATTGTGGCATCCATCACGACATTTAAGGATGCTCAACAATGTGTTAGTTTCCTTAGTGAAATCAAAAACGAAAAGGTATTTATGATTGTATCAGGTGCATTAGGACGACAAGTAGCACCAAAATTGCAAGTAATGCCACAACTGGAAGCAATTTATGTGTTTTGTGGCAATAAATCATATCACGAAGAATGGGCCAAAACTATACCGAAGGTGAAAGGCGTTTACACTGCCATTAAACCAATATGTCAAGCACTTGAAATTGATCGACAACGATGTGATCAAGCTATGATTCCGGTGAGCTTTAATGGTCTCGATCCTCTATTCATGTATACACAACTGTTAAAAGAAGCACTCTTGGAGATCGAAGATGATGATGAAAAATCCATCAAAGATTTGGTCGATTATTGTCGTGAACAAGACGATATTCCTGAAGACCAAATCAAACAAGTTGAACGTGAATATCGTAATCATACACCCATATGGTGGTATACAGCCGAAACATTTATGTATCCAATTCTTAATCGTGGACTTCGACAAATGGATGTCGACATTATTCTCAAAATGGGATTTTTCATCCGGCATCTGCACAACCATATTACAGAATTACACCGGGAACAACAAGGCAGCATGCCGACAAAATTTCAAGTCTTTCGTGGACAAGGTTTGTCCATGGAAGACTTTGAAAAAATGAAAAAAACCAAAGGAGGACTTATGTCCTTTAATAACTTTCTCTCGACAAGTCGCAAGCGCACGATCTCATTGGACAATTTCGCACGACCAGCTACAAACAATCCCAGTTCAGTCGGCATTCTCTTTGTTATGGCCATCGACACGGCGATTTGCATGAAATCATCAACACCATTTGCTGAAGTAAGCAAAGTTGGTTTCTTCAAAGGTCAAGAGGAAGAAATACTCTTTTCAACACATACAATTTTTCGCATCGACCGAATTGAACGAATTCCCGACGAGCATACGGATCGCCTATGGCAAGTTAATCTCACCCTCGCAGGTAATCAAGATGATGATTTTAGCAAACTCACGGCACACCTGCGAGACGAATTTAATTGGGCAAAAGGATGGCCTCGATTGGGTTCTATACTTATTAAACTAGGTGAGCCTGCAAAAGCAGAACATCTTTATCAGATACTCATTGAGACGGCAACTTCTAATAAAGCTCGAGGTGACTACAATCATATGCTTGGTTGTGTGTATAACGGCCTTGGAGAATACTCGAAGGCGATAAAATTTTACGAACGAGCACTCGATATAAAAGAAAAAGCTATCCCTCAAAACCTTCCCAACTTGGCTGCTTCCTACGGCAACATCGGTAATGTGTATGATAGCATGGGCGAGTACTCGAAAGCACTTTCATCGTATGAACGATCACTTGAAATCCGGAAAATAGCTCTCCCTCCAAATCATCCCGACTTGGCTGGTTCCTACGGCAACATTGGTAATGTGTATAGAAACATGGGCGAGTACTCAAAAGCACTTTTGTATTACGAAAAAGATCTTGAGATCAGTCAAACAACTCTCCCTCCAAATCATCCCCACTTGGCTTCTTCCTACGGCAACATCGGTAATGTGTATAATAACATGGGCGAGTACTCGAAAGCACTTTCATCGTATGAACGATCACTTGAAATCTGGAAAATAGCTCTCCCTCCAAATCATCCCGACTTGGCTTCTTCCTACCTCAATATCGGTTCGGTGTATTACAACATGGGCGAGTACTCGAAAGCACTTACATCGTATGAACGATCACTTGAAATCCAGAAAATAGCTCTCCCTCCAAATCATCCCAACTTAGCTGGCTCCTATGAAGGTATAGGTTTGGTGTATAATAACATGGGCGAGTACTCGAAAGCACTTTCATCGTATGAACGATCACTTGAAATCCGAAAAATAGCTCTCCCTCCAAATCATCCCGACTTGGCTTCTTCCTACAACAACATCGGTTTGGTGTACTATAACATGGGCAAGTACTCGGAAGCACTTTCATCGTATGAACGATCACTTGAAATCCGGAAAATAGCTCTCCCTCCAAATCATCCCGACTTGGCTGGTTCCTACGGCAACATTGGTAATGTGTATAGAAAGATGGGCGAGTACTCAAAAGCACTTTTGTATTACGAAAAAGATCTTGAGATCAGTCAAACAACTCTCCCTCCAAATCATTCCGACTTGGCTTCTTCCTACCTCAATATCGGTTCGGTGTATTACAACATGGGCGAGTACTCGAAAGCACTTTCATAGTATGAACGA